TATAGCTTATACATCAGAATAACTAGTATAAAAATAAAACTACAACAAACCATAAAATGAAGACACTTTCCTTTAGATGGTTCAGATATTAGTTTGTATATAAAAAAAAAATGAATTTATATAAAAAAAATTGTATTTATATTTATTTATATATAAAAAATTCTGTATTTATATAATATAAAAAAAATCCTTTAGATGGGTCGTGTATTCGTTGGGTCGTTATATAAAAAAATCTTTTTCCATACAATATTATTATTAAGTTGAAAAAGTTATCTGTATATGTTCACAGGTCTCCTAAATAATTAACGACACACATTTTTAGTGAGTCATTGACTTGTATTTAGATAGTGGTTGACAGTGTTGCCAGATCATCTTGCTTTTCCCATATATTTTGTATTACTAAAATATTTCTAAAATATAAATTAAATAAACAAACAGTAAACAAGGTTTTTTCGGACTATTTTAATGCTATGATGCTAGATGTTTTTTTTATATAAATAATTACAGTATAACAAGTAAGATGCATGCGATAATCAACATAGAAGTCATTATTAATGTAATCAGATAATATTGTCAGTGCGATAGATTTAAAGAGAAGATGAAATGATTTTTTTTGTTTAAATGTGATACAGTGATGGTTTAACATAATTAACATATATTCGTTCAATACATCAGTTATTTTTGACATACAACAGACAACATGTGCCATTTATCAGTTGTATATACATACATAAAATAATTTAAATTTACATGTTCATGGCACCAAACCTAAGGAAAAACTTGTGGAGCGACTGAAAGCCAACTCCCGCCTGACGGATGTGACTTTAATCTACGATTTTTTCTCCCCACCCTATCACCACAAAACACTCCTCAATTAAATAGAGTCTTTTAACTAAGCCAATGTAATATATAAAATCTAAATAACAGTGCATTCCACATTTTTTTCCTACAATTTTCTTCTCCAGCCTCCTGCTATCGCCAGTAAAACCTCCCTAATTGTTTAAATTATTTTAAGTAAGCCAATATATTACATATAAGTGAATTCTTAAAAAAAATTACCTACGTATTCTTCTCCCCGCTTTATCGCCACAAAAAAACTCCCCAATCAGTGAGATTCTTTTAAGTAAGCCAAGGAATAATATTTAGTGATGTTCTTTCCACTATTTATATATTTTAATTGATTTTAGTGCAATTCACAATCTTTTCGCGTCAATTTCTTCGCATAAATTATCACATCGCCAAAAGAACTGACCAATTTGAGTGTTTCCCCATAAATTACTCATAAAACTCCGCAATTTGAGGGAGTATCTTCAACCTGGTAACACTGACTGATACGGCGTACATCAGGCGACATCACGCCACCCTACGAGTAGGTTACGCCACGACGCGTGGTCCGATCGCACGATGGAAATAGCATAATGTATACTAATTAACCCGATTTGGCCAAATGTTGCTATTATAGTCCAAAGGCCTGTGCCAAGGTTTAAAAATAAAGGCCATATCTTACTATTTTTTTAATTTTAATTATATTATAAACTTTATTCTTTTAGCCGCATTCAAATATCTCTGCAGATACCAAAGGTTCATTGGGAGAGAATGCAATAGCTAGCTATACATTAGGTCCACCTTTTGTAACTATAGTTATATAACTTATACATCAGAATAACATATAGGTTTATATTCCAAAAAACAGCAATATTCATAATATTAGTACTAGATTTAAAGACAAACTTGCTGTCCCCAAGTATCGTTTAGAAAAAGTCAATAGGTCTTTTATGGGAATAGGTATAAAATTTTACAATAAGATACCAAAGGATATATTGGAATTACCCTTAAATAAATTCAAAACATCTGTTAAATCATATTTACTGAGCAAAGCCTATTACTCACTAGACGATTACTTGAATGACGAGCGTGCATGGCAATAGTTTTCATGTTCGGGATTTTCATTTAATGTTAGACATAGACACCTATCTAAATGCCTATGAATTGTAAATAAACTGGATTTTTAAAAAAAAGTAATTCGTTTGAGTTTCTTGCCAGTTCTTCTCAATTGGATCTATATACCGAACTGGACGGTAGGGAAAAAAAATTATAATGTAAAAACTTAACGTTCATAAGCGGCTAAAATGTCCTACATGAATAAATGATTTTTGAATTTGAATTTGAATTTATTTTAAAAATATATTATGTAAATGGTCAAGTAAGTTATGATGCAGTCTAAATTGCGCAGGTCAGCTAGTTAAAAATAAACACTTTTCAAGGAGGTCAGTTTTTTTTATGGATGATAATGTAACGGTGCACTCGCCTGTATTTCGCGGCTTACGCCTTCGGATCATTTATTTTGTACCTTAAGATATTTGTTACTTATTCACGCAAAAACGAATAAATGGATTTTGATTGATACTTTACAGTAATATAACTTAAATAGATAGGTAGATAAAAATCTTTATTCGTATCCAGATATTCGAGGAATCGAATCCGCGACCATTGGAAGTGCCAAAAACCAAATGAATGTCACTTGCCACTTTTTTCATTGCTACTCCGCTCCTATTGGTCGTAGCGTGATGTTATATAGCCTATTGCACTCAGGGATAAAATAGTGAAAGAAATTTTAAAATCGGATCAAAAGAATCGGAGCTTAACCCGGACAAACAAACATACAAACTTTACCATTTTATAATCTTATACATAAATAAAATTCTTGTATTACAATGTTAATTACCATACTCCTCAGAAACGGTTTGACCGATTTTTATGAAATTTTATATACATATTTAGTAGGTCTAAATAATCGGATACTATCTATTTTTCATACATCTAAGTAATAAGGGTTGTCCACCCCTCTAATTTTTTTTGCTCAATTTAATTTTTTTTTATAATATAGCATTAAAATTTAAATACATATAATTTAATTTTCATCCATCTATCACCAACCCCTATTTTTTAATAGCGATTTTAATTTATATAGCACAAAATAGCTATTAGTATAGATTCTTCCCACTATGTAGAAGACATTATTTTTGACTATACTTAATTTTTTTCCATATTCCAAATTCTTACTCTAAATTATTGACTTTTTTTCACTTATATATTTATTTGCGAGCTCCTTGACTATTTTTTCTCAAATATTTGTTGTTTTCATATAAAGGCCAAGGTCCATGTGTCTGGTGATGATGAAATAATTCGAGAAATATTTTATTAATATATATACATACATACATACATATATGTACCAGCAGACCCGGCCACGCATTGCTGTGGCTAAGGTTCTTGAATAAAATAATATTGCGACTATAAAATTCAAAATTCAAAACTCATTTATTCATGTACAACATTTTAGACGCTTATGAACGTAAACTTTTTTACATTACAATTTTAATTTTTTCCCTACCGTCCAGTTCGGTATATAGATCCAATTGAGAAGAACTGGCAAGAAACTCAATTGAATTACTTTTTCTTTTTAGCCAGTTTATTTACAATGTATATTTATATAGGTGTCTACGTCTAACATTAAACGAAAATCCCGTGCATGAACAACTATTGCCATGCACGCTCGTCATTGAAGTAATCGTTTAGTGAGTAATAGGCTTTGCTCAATAAATATAATTTAACAGATGTTTTGAGTTTATTTAAGAGTAATTCAAATAAATTTAGTATCTTAAAACACTGATCAACTTGAACACCTATTACATGATACCGTGTATGTAAATCAATAAGTTGTGACCAATTAATTAGAGATCGACGAGGCTCTGTTGATTTGCCACTCAATGTTCTGAACGCAAATTGATGAAGTGATTGTGTGAATATATCAAGGTTGTATTAGCGTATGGCATAATTTTTGATTATATCACTAAAGGTATGCTAAAATGATTTTTATTATGCACGCACCAGTTCCTAGATCATATGTACATGTATTATAATAAATTGAAGTGTCTGTTTCTTATTTATATGAGAATTTTATTTTTAGTTCTTAGTTTCAGGATTAGATATGGCAGTGAAATTATAGGGCATTGGGAATGGAGGCAGTATTTTATTTTTTACAATGACTTACAAACAGACACTCCAATTTTATTTATATGTATAGAGTATAGATTATACTAACGGTTTTAGTTTCAGGATTAGATTGACGACCTCGGTGGTCTAGCGGTCTAGCACACCGCTTTACGTCCGATGGTCGCGGGTTCGATTCCTCGCACGGCACAAACATTTGTATTCATGAGTGTGATTGTTTGTATCGGTCTGGGTATTTTCTATGTATAATATGTATGTATGTATGTATTTAGAAAAAAAAATTATCGATGTATTTGTATCAGTTGTCTAGGACCCATAACACAAGCTTTAGCTAGCTTAACTTGGGTCTAGATGGCGCTGTGTGAATTGTCCTGAGATTATTATTATTATTTTTTTTTTCCAAAAATTCTCATCTCCCCTCTTAAGGAGAGGAGATGGCAACATACCCCCGGCAGAAGCACTTATTATTATTATTATTATTATTATATGGCAGTGAAATTAAAGGGCATGAGGCAAATGAATAAATGAATAAATGAATAAATGAATAAATGAATAAATGAATAAATGAATAAATGAATAAATGAATAAATGAATAAATGAATAAATGAATAAATGAATGAATGATGAATGAACGAACGAATGAATGAATGAATAAATGAATAAATAAATATATAAATAACCTCTAAAGAAGGTTTGTGTTGGGCGATAATGTTTTTGTTGCTAGAGCCGCCAGCCGGATGCTGGCGGCTCTAGCCGCTTGCCGCGAGAAACGAAGTTAGGCGAGCGTGCACGTCAACTTCGGAAATCAGTTTCGATTTCTGCAAAAGTTTCGGCCAATTGTAGCCGAAACCGAAACTGCCGCCGAAACTTTATTTTTGGCCGAAACTCGGCCGAAACCGAAACCGAACTTTCGGTCGGCCACTAATTGTAAGTTTAAATATTATTTCTATTTCTATTCTAACATTGAATATTTCTATATTTTACAGGTTCACGAGAGGTCGCAAATGACAGACGTGTTGATGGGACTGTTGAAAAAAATTGCCAAGGTAAATGTTTACGTAGACGCGACAAAGACAAGCAAACACCGAAAACGTATTACATACGTAACGCAATAACAAACAGAATCGCGCGATGTGTTTCTTTTGTTTTTTTTTGGGTGTATGTTTCTTTTGTGAAATTATTTGCAACATCGTCTGTATTGTTGAGTTTTATTTTATAGCATAGGGGACAAACGCTTGTAGATTCAAATTAAAATTAAGACCCGCATGGATGTGTAAGAAAAAAAAAAAAATAAAAAAAAAGATCCATCTGACATGGTGCATTGCTAGCAGTGGGATCATCAGTCCACATTACTATCAATCTCCATCCTCCTCGCATGAAATTTCTATTGTCTTTTTAGATGTATATTTTGTTTTTTTTTAACACAGGGGACAAACGAGCATGCGGCTCACCTGATGGTAAGTGATTACCGCCGCCCATGAGCACCCGCAACACCAGGGGAATTGCAAGTACATTGTCGGCCTTTTAAAAAGGAATAAGCTCTTTTCTTGAAGGTTTCAATATCGTATCGGTTCGGAAATACCATTGCTGGAAGGTGATTCCATAATGTGGTTGTGCGAGGCAAAAAGTTTCTAGAAAACCGCACTGTTTGTTTATGAATTAGTCACGACATCCATCTGTTTTATTGAGATTTTTTTTTTAACAAGCTCTTTTCTTGAATGTTTCAATATTGTATCGGTTCTTTAGTTGAATTAAGAACAAATTTGATTTTATCAATTAATCAACAAAACAAAATCATATCTTATATTAACTAATAACAACTGTTTTCGATAGTAGTAATATGATATATTATTCTTTTTGCCACACACAACCACACTATGGAATAATCTTCCTGCAATGGTATTTCCGAACCGATACGATATTGAAACCTTCAAGTAAAGAGCTTATTCCTTTTTAAAAGGCCGACAACGTACTTGGAATTCCCCTGGTGTTGCGGGTGCTCATGGGCGGCGGTAATCACTTACCATCAGGTGAGCCGCATGCTCGTTTGTCTCTTTTGTTATAAATGTATTTGATAATAATGTAATTTCTATGTATAATTACAGAAACGGAAAAATCTAAAGATAGTGGTGTCTTCAGCGACGATGGATGCTGAGTTTCTGAAGAATTTCTTCAATTTAACAGATAGAAAAGAGCGAGATAAAGCACCCACGTCGGTTGTAATGTCCATTAGGGGGCGGACGCACCCTATAGATCTATTTTATGTGGAAGGTATGTATTTGATTTTAAAATATTTATTGTCAACCATTGCATTCCAGATACAGTTAATGTAACCAAGATTGTACATATACACGCGTGCACGCATACACACCCACACATATACACATTACACATACATACATACACGCACGCACAAACACAAATAAAATTTCATATATACTTACTTTACTCCTACGTTACTATTACAACAATTTTAGTTATGGAAAATCTACATATATATCTATCAAAGTGACTGATATAGTGATCTATCAACGCACAGCCCAAACCACTGGACGGATCGGGCTGAAATTTGGCATGCAGGTAGATGTTATGACGTGGGCATCCGCTAATAATGGATTTTGATTAATTTTACCCCAAAGCGGATAAAATAGGGGATGAAAGTATGTATGTAACTTTGTCAATTTTAAACCGATCAGGCTGAGAATTTTGCATGCATAAATCTACTATGACGTAGGCATCCCCATTGAAAGGATTTTGATAAATTCCATCCCTAAGGGGATAAATTAACGCGAGCGAAGCCGCGGGCAAAAGCTAGTTATATATATTTACAGAACAGAATTAATCAAAATCCTTTCATTAATTCTACCCTAAAGGGGATAAAATAGGGGATGAAAGTTTGTATGAAACGTTGTCAATTTTAAACCGATCGCGCTGAGATTTTGCATGCATAAAGCTACTATGATGTAAGCATCCCCATTGAAAGGATTTTGATAAATTCCATCCCTAAGAGAATAAATTAACGCGAGCGAAGCCGCGGGCAAAAGCTAGTTATATATATTTACAGAACAGAATTAATCAAAATACTTTGATTAATTCTACCCCAAAGGGGATAAAATAGGGAATGAAAGTTTATATGAAACTGTCAATTTTAAACCGATCGGGCTGAGATTTTGCATGCGTAAAGCTACTATTACGTAAGCATCCCCATTGCAAGGATTTTGATAAATTCCATCCCTAACAGAATAAATCAATGCGAGCGAAGCCGCGGGCAAAAGCTAGTTATATATATTTACAGAACAGAATTAGTCAAGATCCTTTCATTAATTCTACCCCAAAGGGGTAAAATAGGGGATGAAAGTTTATATGAAACTGTCAATTTTAAACCGATCGGGCTGAGATTTTGCATGCATAAAGCTACTATGACGTAGGCAACTCCATTGAAAGGATTTTGTTAAATTCCACCCCTAAGGGGATAAATAACGCGAGCAAAGCCGTGGGCAAAAGCTAGTTATATATATTTACAGAACAGAATTAATCAAAAGCCTTTGATTAATTCTACCCCAAAGGGGATAAAATAGGGGATGAAAGTTTATATGAAACTGTCAATTTTAAACCGATCGGGCTGAGATTTTGCATGCATAAAGCTACTATGACGTAGGCATCCCCATTGAAAGGATTTTGATAAATTCCACCCCTAAGGGGATAAATTAACGCGAGCGAAGCCGCGGGTAAAAGCAAGTTATATGTTTACAGCTAGTTATATATATATATATTTACAGAACCCGTGCCTGATTACGTGAAAGCAACAGTGGATACGATTGTAAAAATACATGAAAATCAACCCTTCGGCGATGTCCTAGCGTTTCTTACTTCACAGGTATGTTATTCGTACCTCATTTGAATTGCCTCTAACGGTTTAACACTGGGAAGGATTGTTAGTAATGTGAATTTGTTTCACACCTACAACACTCTTGATCACAATTTACTACTAGCTGCAAAAAGTTGCTATTTAAATGTTCACAATTTTGTAGTCACCTACTTTTTCTTCTTCTCTTCTCAAAGTTCTACCGGTCTCCTCAAAAATTGTTTAAATTAATCATTAAATTGACCAATAAATAAAGTAGATTTGGGTTTCATTTGAAACTCCTATATAGGGAAGTCTGGATTAATAACCCCATTGCTGACTTGTACCACGTCAGGTTGACCTCCACGCGGTTCCCCCTGGAAATCATCGTGTTAATTCCTGGTGAATTTGTCACGATGGCTCACTGACTTGACCTCATGTTCTTATCATCCTCCGGTGGTGCCCCGCCTGCGTAAACCGTTAGCGCAGGCGAGTGCATCATTCCATTATAAAAAAATGGTTGAGCACATCGCTTAATTCGAAGGGTTGTGGGTTCAATTCCTCGTACAGTGTGTTCATGAGTATGATTGTTTGTATTGGTCTGAGTGTTTAATATGTATCTAAGTATTTATGTCAGTTGTCTTGTACCGCTAACACAAGCTCTGCTTAGCTTGCGGCTGGTGCTGTGTGAATTCTTCAGGGCTAGTGTTACCATATAACTTTAATGCACATAATTAAAAAGTGAATATAGCGGACTATGTCCATATTCTATTTCTATATATATACTAGCTGATCCCGCACACTCCGTTCCGCCTCAGAATAAATTTCTGAACGCACCCCGTTTGACAGTTTGTATGGGAAAATAAAATTGTTGTTTTTAGTATTCTCCATGCAATTTCTTCATATTTTATCACCGTTTAAGCCTTCCCTGGACTTTAATGAATATTTCAAGACTAAAATCAGCCAAATCGGTTCAGCCGTTCTCGAGTTTTAGCGAGACTAACGAATAGCAATTCATTTTTATATATATAGATATATAGAAATAGAAATAATCTTTATTCAAATAAACTCATTACAAGCACTTATGAATAGTCATATTTTCGATTCTACCACTCATTCGGAATGCAGATTCATCACAAGAAGAATGAGCAAGAAACTTGTGTGTTGCTCTTTTGAGTTGTATAACAAGTAAGAGACATGCGATAATCAACATAGATTGCACTAATGATGAGTGCGTAGACTCATTAGTTCAATTAGATAATATTGTCAGCGCTATGGATTTTAAGTTTTTCTATAAAAACATTATCATTAACGAACTCTTCAATTTTATAATAAGCTTTTTTATGACATTTAAATCTTTCTTCAAGCAGATTTGTAACAGACTCTGGTATTTTGTTGTAAAAATGTATGTATGTATTTAAAAAAATATCAAAGTAAATATATAAGTAAAATCCAAATATATTAATAATATATCATACTATAGGAAATAGGGCTTTTTAATTGAGACAACTGAACACTATAATCACTTTTATATAAGATAGGTTATAAAGAATTATATATAAAACTAGGTCAACCTCAATATAAATATATATGTAGGTAGATATAATTCTATTAGGTCACTCAATCAGTTGAGAGGTTAATTTTTGCATTTTAATACAATTAAATCAACACATACTATATCTTGGTTGTCTGTAAGGGATTACTTTAAGCGATAAGGCCGCCTTTTGTTTGCATATCCTTCTTTTTTTTTATTTCCTTTTTGTAATTATTTGTTTCTTTTATGCACAATAAAGAGTTTTATTATTATTATTATTATTATTATCTTCAGGAGGAAATCCTAACAGCATTAGATACACTTCAAACCTATGCAGAAGATAACAACGAGAGGAACAAGCACCGGAGGCAGTTCCCGTCAGGTGTGCAAGCAGCAGACCTGATGGTGCTGCCAATGTACGGGAGTCTTCCTCATCACCGCCAGCTGAAGGTGTTCCAGGCTGCTGACAGGAATGTGAGGAAGGTGGTGCTGGCTACTAATATAGCGGAGACCAGTGTTACCATACCGGGTATTGTTTATGGTGAGGGAAATGTATCTATTTTATTTAACTCTAAATAAAATTTTTCTACCGCATATATCACGGGGAGTGTTCAGAGGAATTGTTCGGATTAATACCAGCTGCTGAGTTTCACCACCGTACCACCCGCCAGAAACTGAAATACCATCATGATCATCTGGATGAATGGCGGTCTTCCACAGTGCGGTTTTCTAGAAACTTTTTGCCTCGCACAACCACATTATGGAATCACCTTCCAGCGATGGTATTTCCGAACCGATACGATATTGAAACCTTCAAGAAAAGAGCTTATTCCTTTTTAAAAGGCCGACAACGGACTTGCTATTCCCCTGGTGTTGCGGGTGCTCATGGGCGGCGTTAATCACTTACCATCAGGTGAGCCGCATGCTCGTTTGTCCCCTGTGTTATAAAAAAAAAACTCATTTTTTCTCTGTAATCACTTACCCTCAGGTGAGCCGCAAGCTATTTTGTCTCCTATGCTATAAAAATTAGAGGCATCCATAATTTTTCAACACATGTTTGTGTATGGTGAACTAAGTTGAGGGTAACTAGTATTGGGGAGAAAAGGGACTGTCATTTATGTGTACCAGGCCTTCTGATTACACGTTGAATAAAAATAACACGCCTTTTAATGATTTTTATTGATTAGTGTTTTTACGCAACAATCGGACATTCACAGAAACGCCATTTTATTAATCTCTGTATAATGCAAAATCATACTCTATTTTGACAAATGACAATTACAGATCAATGTGTCAAATTTGACATTGACACGCGGGTGTAAATACATCACAGTTATTATGTAGATTTGATTAACGTTATTATATTAAGAAAGGGGACTGGGGAAGAAGGGTGAATATTATGTAGATTTGATCCTATGACAGCGATGTACCATCAGGTCATGTAGGTCAGGTTGACCTTCACGTGGTTCTCGTGAAATATCGTGATAAATTCAGGGTTTTACCATCACGGGATAACTGATCTGATCGCATGTTCATCTTATCATCCTCCACTGGTGCCCCATTAGCGTATATCGTTACTGCAGGCGGGTGCACCACATCATTAATAATAATAATAATCTCAGGACAATTCATACAGCGCCATCTAGTCCTAAGTTTGCTAAAGCTTGTGTTATGGGTACTAGATAACTGATGACTACAAAATTTTTTTTTACAAAAATCATCATAGAAAACACCAAGACCGACACAAACAGTCATACTTGCGTAATATGTTAACTGACCTGACCTTATGCTCTTATCCTCGACTGGTGCCCCGCCAGCGTATATCGTTAGCACATCATTAATAATAATAATCTCAGAACAATTCACACAGCGCCATCTAGTCCCAAGTTAAGCTATCTAAAGCTTGTGTTACGGGTACTAGATAACTGATACAAATACATAGATAATTTTTTTTCGTAAATACATACATATTATACATAGAAAATATCCAGACCGATACAAACAATCATACTCATGAATACAAATGTTTGTGCCGTGCGAGGAATCGAACCCGCGACCATCGGGCGTAAAGCGGTGTGCTAGACCGCTAGACCACCGAGGTCGTCGGATCATTCCGTTATCAACTATAAATAAATATTTATAGATGATAATTATTGTGTAATTCCAGTGGTGGACTGCGGGTTCGAGAGGCTGCCGTACCTAGAGCCGGGGGTGGGCGTGGAGCGCGTGGTGGCGGCCGCGGTGTCCAGGTGCAGTGCGGCGCAGCGGGCCGGCCGCGCCGGCAGGACCAACCGTGGTGCCTGCTACCGGTAAATATTATTCTACTGCTGTTATAAATAGACGACTCTGACCATTTACCATCAGGCTAGACGTATACTTCGTTTTCGCATTTCAGTTACTTTCGCTTTTTTTATATACAATTCAATGGCTACCTCGACCTCGATGGTGTATTGGTTTAGCACACAGTTTCGATTCCGATGGTCGCGGGTTCGATTCCCGGCACGGTATAAAAAGTTGTATACATGATATGTTTGTTTGTATTAGCCTGGGAAACCTGCTACCGGTAAAATATTGTTGTAGTGCTGTTCATATATATATAAATAGACGACTATGACCATTTACCATCAGGCTAGGCGTATAATTCATTTTCGCATACCAATTTCTTTACGCTTTTTTAAAATACAATTCAATGGTTATCTCTAGATCTCGACAGTGTACCGGTTTAGCATATGTTTCTATTCGGATGGTCGTGAGTTCGATTCCTCACTCGATACAAACATTTGTAGTCGAGTATGATAGTTTGTATCGGTCTGGGTGTTTTCTATGTATAATATATATGTATTTACGAAGAAATATACATATATTTCTTCGTAAATACATATATATTATACATAGAAAACACCCAGATGGAAGATGGAATTAGATAACTGATACAAGTACATACATATGTACTTGTATCAGTTATCTAATTCCATAATACAAGCTTTAGTTAGCTTAACTTGGGTCTAGATGGCGCTGTGTGAATTATTATTATTATTATTTGTATTGACATAATTGTTTGTATATATCTACGTGTTTTTATGTTTGTTATGTACAGTGGACCCCCCATTATCCGACAAACGTTTTGCAGGGCAGTGTCGGACCATCGAATTTGTCGGATTATAGAGTGCTGCCTAAGGGTCCCCTATAGTCCGGAATTTTTTAGTAAAGAGTATCTTGTAATCCGACAAATTAGATCCAGTGATAAGATTCTATGTTATATATATGTATGTAGGTATATGCACTTTGAACTATATTGTCAAAATATATTCAGTAATAAATAATAGACCATCTTGGATTACAAGGGGGGCCAGATAAGACAGGGGCCGGATTACCGCGGGTCTACTGTATTTAGAAAAATTATACTATTATAGTAACAGTTATCTAGTACACATAACACAAGCTTTAGCTAGCTTAACTTGGGTCTAGATGGCACTGTGTTAGTCGTCCATGGTTGTTATTATATATTTTAATGTTTGTCTGTCTATCAGTCTGTACACGGAGGAGCAGCTGGAGAGCTTGCCTGAAGCTCGTCCGCCGGAGGTGTGCCGCAGCGACTTGTCGTCAGCTTTGCTGCAGCTTAAAGCTCTCGGCATACACAACTTGTTAAGGTACTGAAAAGTATATAAATAAGAAAAGTAAGAAAGAAAATTGTTTATTTGGTACACTGAAAATAATTTTTAAATTTTAATTTACATTGTATCGGTTTATATTAATTTTACAGTACCAAATAGGTCTCCGCTCAGCATATGTCGTGACGGGGTGCCACGACGCTGGTTTTCAGCGGATACCTTCATATATAATAAAATAATAATATTAATACACATACATACATAAATCTAGGCGGATAAAATACATATATGTTTTTATACCAAGGATAGACATTGTAAATATATATTTTGATAAAAATGCAAAAATAATTACTAATTTTCATATAATATATTCAGATAAGTTATTCTGATTTTAAGATTCAAATTTACAGATAAATTGTTAATTTATTTATTATAAGTGTCTGGGGCTATCCACCATCTTTTTTTATTAACAAAAAGTTGAGGTAAAAGTAATATAAAATTACTTTTTTAATTTTTCGGAAATAGTTCCTCAATTTTATTTAATATATTTAAAAAAGTTCTTAGTTTAATTCTGAAATTAAAATACAGACGATTTTTTTGTTATTGTATTTTTAATTGCAATTTATTTTTAGTGGGGCTACCCGACCTTCCCCTAAGTGGTTTAAATGTTTTATATGTATATTATATATGTGTTGACATAATAAATATATATAAGTATTTATATGCCAAAATAAACAGAACTTGTGTTATGGATGTAACATCCATAATACAAGGTCTGTTTACCGTAGGACTAGATGGCGCTGTGTTAATTGTCCTAGGTTATTTCTTTATAATTCAAATTCAAAATATCTTTATACATGTAGGTCTATTACAGACTCTTATGATATGTCAAATCTACCGTCAGTTCGGAATCATATCGAGATCAGAAGAACTGACAACAAAACTCAGCTCGTATTCTTTTCAAATAAATGTTGTACATGTTTACAATAATACAGATTCATGTAAATTCAAATAGAGACTATTGTTTTATTGAGAACTTACTTTTAAAAGTGTTTGTATTGAGTTTATTTGAATAATGATTATTTCTATTTCTATTTCTTTATTCCATTTATATGGAGTCGGCTTATATACACATATAGAAGACAATAGCAATGCTTAATGTTCTAAAATTGCCGTAGATATTAAAGACTCAAAGACTTTCCAAATGCGAAAGGTTAAAAAAATAAGTCTTATCAATTTGTATTACAGATTTACGTTTCCAACCCCTCCACCAGCGAAAAGCCTTCTAGCCGGTCTAGAAACGTTATACGCCTTGAAGGCGATAGACAAAGACGGTCAGCTGACGGTCGACGGTGGAGAGAGAATGGCAGAGTTACCGTTGAAACCTATGTGTGCTAAAATATTGTGCAACAGTGGTGAGAAATATCGTATTCAAATTGTAATCAAAATCAAATCAATGTTAAATCAAATCAAATCAAATATAATCAATATTTAAATCAAATCAAAATATATTTATTCTTGTAGGTCTATTACAGACTTATGATATGTCAAATCTACCGTCAGTTCGGAGTGCAGTCGATGTAAGAAGAACTGACAAAAAAACTTAGCTCTTAATATTTTCAAATGTGCTTGTGCTTAAATCAAATCAAATCATATGTAATCAATATTTATATCAAATCAAAATATCTTTATTAATGTAGGTCTATTACAGGCTTTTATGATAAGTCAAATCTTCCGTCAGTTCGAAGTGCAGTCGATGTAAGAAGAACTGACAAAGAAACTTAGCTCTTATTATTTTCAAATGTGCTTGTACTTAAATCAAATCAAATCAAAATATCATTATTCATGTAGGTCTATTACAGACTTATGATATGTCAAATCTACCGTCAGTTCGGAGTGCAGTCGATCTAAGAAGAACTGACAAGAAACTTAGCTCTTATTATTTTCAAATGTGCTTGTGCTTAAATCAAATGTAATCAATATTTAAATAAAATCAAACCAAATCAAAATATCTTTATTCATATAGGTCTATTACAGACTCTTATGATATGTCAAATCTACCGTCAGTACGGAATGATTTCGAGATGAGAACTGACAAGAAACTCAGCTCGTATTACTTTCAAATGCGCTTGTATGTAATACCTTACTTGTGTAAGTGAGTAAAATGTCGTACATGTTTTTTTTAATTTGTCTTATCCGTCATACTCGTGAGCTGCTTGATTACTGCTTGTGGGGTACTGTATATACATATATAACATACGGTTACGGCCGCTGCGCTGATTAGGTCATTTTCTTTTGACAATCGTGGTATAGTATATGCTGGTAGTCACTTTATTCTTCTTAATTGAATTTAAAAATGTATCTGTATTATTGTAAACATGTACATTTATTTGAAAAGAATACGAGCTGAGTTTCTTGTCAGTTCTTCTCATCTCGAAATCATTTCGAACTGACGGTAGATTTGACATGTCATAAGAGTATGTAATAGACATACATGAATAAAGATATTTTGATTTGATTAATAATAATTATTATTATTTATTTATTTATTAAAATTGTTTTATATAATCACAATAGCATAGTTTCCTAAACTAGGCTGGGCCTAATAATTTATTGCTATTTGCCTTATTGCAGCCGAATACGGGTGTATAGACGAAGCTCTAACTATAGTATCAATGTTGCAAGTAGACAGAGTATTTGTGAAGTCCAGCAGTGGGAAAGATAATATTGCAGCCAAAATGTCCAGGAGAAATAATTTTGAGGCGAGTAGTAGTCCAAATACTAAATAATCAAATTCATAAAAGTGACGAAAGATGTATTTGTAAAGAAACTAGCTGACCCCGCAAAAATTTTGCCATATAAATTAAAATCGCTATTAAAAATAGGGGTTGGTGATAGAAGGGAGAAAATTTAGGGTTGTATGTATTTTTTAATGCTACATTATAAAAAAATGTTAGGTGTGGACAACCCTTACCACTTAGGGGTATGAAAAATAGGTAGTAGCCGATTATTAGACCTACTGAATATGCATATAAAATTTCATAACAATCGGTAAAGCCTTTTCGCTGTTTAGTTCTTTCCAATAGTGCGTGTATATTACATACAATGGCAATCTATACAAAGAAGTTACATTACAGTGTCTGTTTGTAATTTAAAATTAACAGCTTTTCACTAAATGCATATGAAAGTATATATGGTAGTTACAATTTTCATTTTATTTTTCACCAGCTACTCGCCCCGGCTTCGCGCGGTTGTACATGTATATAATACATATATAAACCTTCCTCTTGAATCACTCTATCTATTTAAAAAAACCGCTTCAAAATCCGTTGCGTAGTTTTAAAGATTTAAGCATACATAGGGACGGACAGACAGCGACAGCGACTTTGTTTTATACTATGTAATGAAGTATATACATTTTGCAAAGAATTTCAGTAAAAAATATTAATTAATTATACTTACAGGTAGCTGAAGGTGATGTACTAATGTATTTGAACGTATTCGATGCATATTTAAAAGTCAAAAACTCTGTAAGCGACGAGAAAAAGTGCAGAAAGGCGTGCAAAGACTGGTGTAGCAAGATGTATGTGAACTATAGAGTTATGGAGAAGGTAACATTTTATATACTTACAACAATAATGATAGGTCTCGGTGGTATAGAGGTTTAGCACATGGCTTTACTTTCGATGGTCGCGGGTTCAATTCCTCGCACTGTGTAAACATTTGTATTCCTGAGTATGATTGTTCGTATCGGTTAAATATAATAATTTATAAAAAAATCTTAAGTATTTATATCAGTTGTTTATCCATAACACAAGCTAAATTCTGAGGAATTGTTCGGATTATTACTAGCTTTTGCTTATTTATTCTCTGTTTACAATAAACAGTTTTTTAAATAAAAAAATAAATAATCTTGGTCTATTCACACAGCATTATCGAAGCTAGTATTATTCCTCAATTCTCCAGAATTTAATTTCACCATCAAATACCACCCACTAGAAACGAAGGTACCGTCCTGATCATCTGAAATAACTTGAATTGCAATCATTTACAATCTATTAAAAAAAAACAAAGTAATTAGTTGTTCAATTAAAAGCAACTACTTAATTGAAGTTTTTTTGTGTTATAGATTTAGGTATAATAATAATAATTAAAAAAAAAAATGTTTCAGGCCTGCGAAATAAGGAACAGTTTGGAGAAATTAGTGAAAGGGAAATTCCAAATGGAGAATGACAGTTTTGATGGACTGGACTTAGGATCAGGTATGTCATTCTTCTCTATCTTCAATCAATCATCTTCGAACGGATCATTAAAGAAATAGAAATAGAAATGATCTTTATTCAAATAAACTCATTACAAACACTTTTGAATAGTCATATTTTGATTCTACCACTCATTCGGAATGCAGATTCATCACAAGAAGAATGAGCAAGAAACTTGTGTGTTGCTCGTTTGAATAGATGTTTTTTTATATAATAATTACAGTATAACAAGTAAGAGGCATGCGATAATAAACATAGATATCGCTACACACTCATTATTAGTGCAATTAGATAATTTTGTCAGTGCTATGGATTTTAAGTTTTTCTATAAAAAACATTATTGTCGTTGACGAATTCTTCAATTTTATAGTAAGTTTTTTTGCAGAAAGTGTTTTATGGAAATACTCAATCAGTCAAAATTCACGAGTTATTTTTGAATGTGATGAAGTTAAAAATAATCTTATATATTTAAAACATAATTTATCTAAAAGAGCAAATAGCAGGTTTTTTTGCTCGTTCTTCTTGTGATGTCATATCATAAGAACGAGCTTTTTATTGAGAGGTAGATTAAAAAAATAAATGTACATATATTTAAGTTAATTTCATCATTCATTTCATTAATTTCATTTTTTATTCTATTGTAATCTAGAGAACCTCAGAGTCAGTCTTGATGTTTTCTATGTACATTATGTATACTGGCAAAAAATCTATCTGTATTTATACCAGTTGCCTAGTACCCTTACACAAGCTCTGCTTAGATACTTGATACTAGATGGCGCTGTATGAATTGTCCTAAGATATTATTATTATATTTATAATAATAATAATAACTCTTTATTGTTTTGTACTTACTGTCCTATGTTTATGTATACATAGGACAGTAAGTACAAAACAATGAAAATAAATGTTTTACAAAAGGCGGTCTTATCACTATCAGCAATCTCTTACAGACAACCCGGTTTGACAACAAATTTATGTTTTTCAGAAAAATGTACACGTATAATGAAATGTGTATTGTCCGGTCTGTTCCCTCAAGCGAGTTATTTGTGCGTTAGTGGATGCTACCGCAGCCTCCGAGGGGCCGACTTGTACATTAGTCCGGACAGTTGTTTGTACAACTTGCAACAGCCTAAATGGTGAGTCACTATATTTATTTATTCCTTATCTCATTCCTTCATTCCATCATTCCTTAATTTTTCTTTATATCGTTCTTTCGTCTTTCGTTCTTTCGTTCTTCTGTTCTTTCGTTCTTTCGTTCTTTCGTTCTTTCGTTCTTTCGTTCTTTCGTTCTTTCGTTCTTTCGTTCTTTCGTTCTTTCGTTCTTTCGTTCTTTCGTTCTTTCGTTCTTTCGTTCTTTCATTTCTTCATTTCTTCATTTCTTCATTCCTTCGTTCCTTCATTCCTTCGTTCCTTCATTCCTTCGTTCATATTTTTTTGCTTTATAAGTGCTAATATAACTTACTCATGTACTTTTCTAGGCATAGTAATGTAAACGAGAGAGATAGATATACAATACCTCTCTCACTTATATCATCGAATGATAGTTTTTTTTTCATCCATCGCTGATTCGGAACTTACTCATCACAAGAAGAACGAACAAGAAACTTGCGTGTTGCTCTTTTATTTGTTTTAACTTTACATTTTTAAGCTAAAACGTGTGAATACAAACTACCAAATAACACAACTTCATTACAGTTAAAATATTATTAGGTTGTTCGAAAAGTAATTTCGTTTTTTCCTAACTTAGGATTTAATTGTATTGTTTTGCACTCAACTTCACACTTAAACCGTATAATTTTTATATGCTTTGAGAGCTCATATAGCAAGGCTTGTGTATGAAAAATTACAATTAATTCTACGCAGTAGTTTTTGGTCGGTGCTCTTTTAATTATGGTGAGGAATAAGCAGCATTTTCGACATATCTTACTGTTTTACTACAGAAAGGGCAAAAATGCTGTTCAAGCCAGAAAGAAATTGACCGATGTGTGTGTAGAAGGTGTGGTAACAGTACGCCAGTGCTAGAACTGGTTCGCTAAATTTCGATCCGGTAATTTTAATGTCGAAGATGCACCACCCTCGGGAAGGCCGGTTGAAGCTGATAGAGGCATTGGTTGATGAGAACCGGCAAATAACACAACACGTGAGATCGGATCGAGGTTAAATTTATCAAATTTAACAATTTATAACCATTTGAAAGGCCTGGGATGTTATAAGTGTTGTTATTCACCGGTTCTCATCAAGTGAGAGATCGCCCCCTAAGATCTATAATGAAATGATTGTAAGAATGTATAGTACAGGAGATATGTTCTATTTTTTCAGGGTAATATTCGCAAGTGTATATAGTACAGGAGACAAAACATACATGAGTGATTTAATGGTGATACAAAAAGAGTGGCTTCTGGAGGTAGCGCCGCATTACTATGTAGAGACTTAGAGGTGCATCATCAGGACTGGACATCATCATGACTGCAAGGGTGTGAAGATGCCAAGATTTAATACTTCGGCGGAGTGACCGGCTGATTTGGTCAGGAATTTTTGTGGTCAACCAATGTTGCTAGATAGATAGATATAGATAGCAACATACATAAAAAAATGAAATAGGTACAAGAATGTTATAGAACATACAATACACTTAAAATGCATATAAATAAACATATACATAAACATATTTGACAGCCTCGGTGGTCTAGCGGTTTAGCACACCGCCTTACCTCCGATGGTCGCGGGTTCGATTCCTCGCACGGCACAAATATTTGTATTCATGAGTATGATTGTTTGTATCGGTCTGGGTATTTTCTATGTATAATATGTATGTATTTATGAAAACATATCTATGTATTTGTATCAGTTGTCTAGTACCCATAGCACAAGCTTTAGCTAGCTTAAGTTAGGACTAGATCGCACTGTGTGAATTGTCCTGAGATTATTATTATATACTCGGCTATGGTCTAGAGGCTTAGCACATGGCTTTACTTCTGACAGTCGCGGGTTCGATTCCTCGCACCGTAATGTTTATATTCATAAGTATGATTGTGTCAGTCTGGGTGTTTTCTATGTGTATTATGTATGTATTTACAAAAAAAAAATGTATTTAAGTCTACATATCAGTTGTTTAGTACCCATAACAAGCTCTGCTTAGTATGGGACTAGATGGCGCTGTGCGAATTGTCCACGGTTAATATTATTATTATTGCTAGATAGATAAGATCTAGATTTATATCAATTGAATCTGATTTCATGCTACAAGTATTTTTAGATTATATTATAAGAACTCAATACACTTTAAATGTAATTTTTTTGTATAAAAATAAACCTAAAATGTGTGTGTGAAATATGAATTGCTACTCATTGATTAATTTGCTCAATGAATAAAATACTGATTTTCAGTATACGGTAATATAAAAATAAAAATAAACGTATAAATCTAAAGAAAGGTGTTTCATTTACGTAACGACTGTACGTGTTTACACTTGTCCTGATTGACTTACTGACTGATCCATAGAAGCAGTCTAAACCACTATTATCATTCATTCATTCATAATTGAGGAGCTACGCTCCTGTCGGTGGAGCTCTTGCCACTTTCCGCGATCTTCCATCATGCTCCTTAATTCTTGATACGACACGACTCCCATTTTGTCCTCAGTTTGTTTGATGTAGCTATTCCTTGGTCTTCCCCTCCCCCTCTTTCCTTCTATTTTCCCCTCAATAATAATTTTCATGAAATCATCGTGCCGTATCAAGTGTCCTAACATTTTCCTCGTCTATTTTCTATTGTGTTCAATATTTGCCTTTTTTTTTTACCCTGTGTCGTTTCTTACTTTAATTTATATATAATTTATATTATATATAAAGTAAGGGTTATCAAGAAGAAAATAAATAAGTTAAGCTTATATTAGTAAGTTAATATTATTAGTATAATTAAAGCCAAAAAAGCGGAGATCATTGGTGGAGGCCTTTGTTCAGCTGTGGACGTCTTCTGAGCTGATGATGATGATGAAAAGCATAAGTGACGTTTGTATGATATCTCCAAATGATGATGATCAGAGACAGGACATAGGCTTCCTTTTAATGCGAAAGTATTGTATGTTGCTCTTTTAAATTATCCTTGTAAGTTTACAAGTCGAATAGAACAGAATAGAATAGAATAGAAAATCATTTATTCAAATAAACTTAATTTAAGCACTTTTGAATAGTCATAACAATTTGTTTTTTATCTACCACTCGTTCGGAAAGCTGTCTCATCACAAGAAGAACGAGCAAGAAACTTGTGTGTTGCTCTTTTAAATAATCCTTGTAAGTTTACATTTACAAGTCGAAACGTGTGAATACAAACTACCAACCTGCACTAATTTTTTGGGTCAAATATAAATATGCAATAAGATTAAATCAGTTGTAGTGATAAGGGCAGACCAGTCCCTACAAGCAGCACTCGTTCACGAGTATGACGGATGAGCCAGCCATTACTGCGCTCGACCATATTTTAGGGAGCCCAATGCCCCGGCCCACCACGTCGCCACATGTCTGGACATTTTAGTGAGCGTGACTACTCATTCCACTCGACCACGTCACAGCTACAAAAATTACTATATGGTAGTTACAGTATTCGCACTTTATATAAGGATGCATGCGGCAATCAATACAAAAGCCGCTACGCTATCATATACCAAGAAAGCAGTATGAAAAATAAATTACAACGTTGTCCGCAAATAAATTTATTCTTGCTATATATTGCTATCATCTATAAATTCATCTATCTTATAATAGGCTTTTTACATAAGATATTTTTAATATAAAATTTGAATTGCCTCTCTGTAAGATTTAGCGTAGACTCTGGCAGTTTATTATAGAATCTTACGCAATTACCATAAAATGAATTACTGACTTTGTGTAGACGGCATTTAGGTAAAATTAGCTTATTTTTATTGCATAAGTTTCTACTTGTACAGTTTTTAAGTTTCTTGCAACTATACCAGACCGATACAAACAATCATATTCATGAATACAAATGTTTGTGGCGTGCAAGGAATCGAAACCGCGACCATCGAAAATGAGGCGGCGTGTTAAATCGCTACACCACCGAGGTTGTCAAACATTATTAACAAATCCATCCCCCCGGACTAAGATGTCATGCCACCTGTAATTTCAGTGCGTCGCACCTTACAAAGCTAACTGATTGGCGCATGAAATAGGTGAGATTGTCGCAAACGACTTTTTACTGTCTACCACTAAAAGGTCAATCAGATAGGAGCCAGTAGTTTCCATTATTAATAATCCCCTCCACCCCTCCGCCACGGATTATTGTCTGATGTAAGTAAACAAAGGTATAAATTAACGAGGGTGCCTGACCGGAGCTATAATTAACATTACCACCTATCGAAGGTCAATAAGTTAATTTATTAAATTTATAATTACTTCGTATGTTTAATACACCGTTTAATTTTACGATTGGAATATTTTTCCTTGTTTCTTTGTTTCTTGAACGGGTGCTGTTTGTAGAGACTACTCATGCTCATACGTCATACTCGTGAACGGGTGCTGCTTGTGGGGACTGGTCTGTTCAGGTTGTGAACACTGATTAAATTTTTTGTTCTTTGCGATAGCATATGCTGGTGGTCACTCTATTCTCCCAAATTTGAATTTTAATAACTGTATTTATTATAAACATGTTCCACTATTATTTGAAAAAAATACGAGCTGAGTTTCTTGTCAGATCTTCTCATCTCGATATCATTCCGAACTGACGGTAGATTTGACATATCATAAGAGTCTGTAATAGACCTACATGAATAAAGATATTTTGAATTTTGAATTTTGAATCTTAACTTAACATTAAGCTTGAGTTCTACAATACAGTTTATGTGTTGAATTGTCATGATGCATTTAGAGGCATGTCCCTAATCATACTGATTTACCAGTGGTAGACTGTAAACGATGGGCTAACTGACCTGACCTTGAGCATGAGGTATTATTAGGTGTTATCATCCTCCACTGGAGCCCCACCAGCGCAAACCGGTAGCGCAGGCGGGTGCACCATTCCATTATATTCATGCAAAACTCATTGCTGGCAATGTACCATGTCAGGTTGACCGCGTAGTTCTTCCTGGATAATGTGATAAGTCCCAGGCGATTTGGCACTATGGGCTAACTGACCTGACCTGACCTCATCCTATCGTTCTCCACTGGTGACGCGCCAGCTTAAACCGTTAGCGCAGGCGGAAACACCAATATATAATCGTCTATAAAAAAAACTCTGGAGGATAGCGATTAATAGAGACTTCTGGCTCCTATCTGGTTGACCGTTTTTTGTAGATAGGAAAAAGGTAACGGCGGCCTGCCGAGTTGGTGGGGTGGGAATTTGGTCCTAAAAATTCGGATTATTTTCAAAGGAATTTTTTAGGTACAGGGCAACCCCGCAGCGAGTCCGCTTCTATGGGGCGATGATGGGTCTAGGTATAAAATATTGACAGTGCTAAAAAAAATTTCCGAATTTGGGGTAATTTAGGAGAAAGGTCCCAAAAAGTTGGAATTTTTTGACACCGACCCTGACGCCGACGCCGACGCCTACACTAACGCCGACTAGACACTGATACCGACGCCGACGCCGACACGCTGTAGCCGTCGACGAAAACGACGCCGACGCCGAAACCAATGCCTACGCCGACTCCTTCCTTGACTGGACACCGACATCGACATACACAAATACTCTTACACAAATACAGACATGGACACAGACAATGACACCTACCCCGACACCGGTTCAACGCCAACGCCTACACCAATTATATTGATAAATCGATTATACGCCGAAGCCGCCACGACACCGAAGACGTCGCCATCGGCGAAGCCATCTCCGACGCCTACGCTGACGCCGACGCCGCAGACGCGGCCGACGTCGATGCCGAAGACGACGCCGACGCCGATGACGAAGACGACGCCGACGCCGACGCTGACACCGATCAACTAACGTATCAGTAAGGGACCCTTAAAACTAGAACTTGTATCAAACCACACTAGCGGGCTCGTACTATATTTGTCAGGGAGAGAAACACGAGCGGTGAAGGTGAGTATTGACGTACGGCAAGTGGCCTTAAACCTACACCTGGGTCACAAGTCCCGGGAACTGCTCGGAGTTTCCCTCTCTGACACACGACGGACCCGGCTGTATGGATTATAAATTTCAATAGCTTCTTTCACCATTGTAAGGACGTAACAGGGTTCCGTAGATAGTTACGTACATAGAAATTCAAGAAATTACATTTTCATAAGGTTTATATTTTTTGCTTTCCTAATTATATTCTCTACAACTAATAATCTTGTACATATACAGAATTCACGTTGTTGTCAACCCTGATACATTCTAAACAACGTTTGTTTATTCTCGATCTGATCTTGAAACACACAGGCATGGTCAGACGGTCACCGTTAATCAGTGACATTGTTAATAAGTCAAAACAATGATATAACAAATGCACTTATCAACACATGTATTGATTTATTTATATATTGACTTAGTTCCTGGTCAAACTGGATATTTTG